GGTACCAGCTCCTCTTTGTACCTCTGGTAGAATTCGGCTGTGAATCTGTCTGGTCCTGGGCTTTTTTTTGTTGGTAGGCTATTAATGACTGCCTCAATTTCAGAGCTCGTTATTTGTCTATTCAGGAATTCGACTTCTTCCTGGGTTAGTCTTGGGAGGGTGTATGTGTCCCGGAATTTATCTATTTTTTACAGATTTTCTAGTTTATACACATAGAGATGTTTATAGTATTCTTTGATTGTAGTTTGCATTTCTGTGGGATCAGTGGTGATACCCTCTTTATTATTTTTTATTTTATCTATTTGATTCTTCTCTCTCTTCTTCATTAGTCTGGCAAGCAGTCTATCTATTTTGTTAATCTTTTCAAAAAACCAGCTCCTGGATTCATTGATTTTTTTTGAAGGGTTTTTTGTGTTTCTCTTTCAGTTCTGCTCTGACCTCTGTTATTTCTCATCTTCTGCTGGCTTTCAAATTTGTTTGCTCTTGCTTCTCTAGTTCTTTTAATTGTGATGTTGGAGTGTTGATTTTAGATCTTTCCTGCTTTCTGATGTGGGCATTTAGTGCTATAAATTTTCCTCTAAACACTGATTTAGCTGTGTTCCAGAGATTCTGGTACATTATCTCTTTGTTCTCATTGGTTACAAAGAAATTCATTATTTCTGCCTTAATTTCGTTATTTACCCAGTAGTCATTCAGGAGCAAGTTGTTCGATTTCCATGTAGTTGCATGGTTTTGAGTGAGTTTCTTAATCCTGAGTTGTAATTTGATTATAGTGTAGTCTGAGAGGCTGTTTGTTATGATTTCTGTTCTTTTGCATTTGCTGAGGAATGTTTTACTTCCAATTATGTGGTTGAGTTTAGAATAAGTGGTATGTGGTGCTGAGATGAATGTATATTCTGTTGATTTGAGGTGGAGAGTCCTGTAGATATCTATTAGGTCTGCTTTGTCCAGAGCTGAGTTCAAGTCCTGAATATCCTTGTTAGTTTTCTGTCTTGTTTATCTGTATAATATTGACAGTGGGGTGTTAAAGTTTCCCACTATTATTGTGTGGAAGTCTAGGACTCTTTGTAGGTCTCTAAGAATTTGTTTTATAAATATGGGT